CCCTTCCTTCCTCCGCTCTTCCGTGCACGGTCGCGATGTCTCCTCTTTGCCGCCTGGCCGCGGGGCGGGGTATCAAGTACCTGGTCATGTCTGCAGCGCCCCACCTTCCTAGTGTGCACTCTTAAGGTGGGGCGGCTGGCCGGGGTGTGGTCCTCTGTCTGCCAGCGTGCGGCTCTGGACCAACCCTGGGGGCGACGCGCGGGGCGTCCGTTCGCCAGAGTGCGTCGGACGCGACCGCGGTCGCGCTTCTTTTCTCCCACCCACCACCCTCGAGGGGGACATTGGTACCCATGTGCTTCGGCCTGCGCCCTGGCGCGCCAGCCGCCTGTGTCGTTTGACGCGGTGGGCTGGCGTGCCGGCTGTTGGCGCACGGCCGCGGCCTCACCCAACGTTGTTTGGGTGCCGTATTCCCCCCTCTGGGTGGCATCGCGGTCGAACGTCGCCGCGAAGGAGACTTATGTGGTCATTTTTGTTGGGAGCGCGCTCGCCTGCCGGGGGGGCAGTCCTCGCCGTTCGAGGACTCCGCGCTCGACGTTTCACATCGACGGGCGGTGATGTTTGGGACCTCGCTGGCTCGGAGGCTCGGGGCTCTTGTGTTGGAGTTCCCCCTTTCGGCCTCAGCAGAAGTTCTCGATTCATTCTGGGGCGAAGAAGTGCATCGCTCTCTACCGAATGGCCTTCGGCCCCTGCCGCCACCGTGCCTTGGTCGTGGGCCAGAGGCCTCTTGGGGGCCTTGTGTGGTATCTCGGTGATTATTTGAGGAGTCTTGTGGGCATGCTGTGGGCTTCTTTTGGGTGGATTGGGCGCCTGTTGGCGGTCTCGGGGGACACCTTGCGAATGCTCATGCGGCCCTTACGAGTTCCCCGCTCCTGTCCCTCGTGGGGCGAAGATGGGGCGACTTCAGGGGACCTGTGGACCCGAGCGAGAGAGGCGAGAGTCCAGATGTCCGACGGACACATTCACGCTCTTGAGCAAATCGGGCCTCCTGGGCCCAGCCCCGCGACGGCCGAGGTCCCCTATGGAGCCTCCGGGGCGTGCCCCCCCACCCCAACCGGGACCCTTTCGGGGCGTGGCATTCCCAGCCCGCGCCCCCGAGGCCCTGGGACAAGCTGCGCGGAGCACCACGGGGAGCGCACGGGGGAGCCTGGGAGCACCCATCGGTTGGGGCCGGGGCTCTGGAGGGATGCGCGCGGGGGCGACCAGGCTTGCGTGCACGCGCCGACGTGTGAAGAGGCGGAGGGGCCCACTGGCCTCTTCCGCTGCACTCGCAGTCCGGCAGACTACGTGAGATCAGCGCGTGGGACCCAACGGGCGACTCTGCGCAGCATCGTACTCGGCCGCAGCGCCTTGGGATGACTCGAGCGTTCTACAGGTAAAGTCAAGAACGTGCATATCATTTGTCACCACCCAGATGCGGAGAGGAGACAATTCTGTGACATCTGGCTAGCAAGAGCTTGCCAAACTCCCGAAGTTTATATCTTCACCTGTTAGCACAAGCGCATCGAACAGCACAGAAAAGTCACCCGCGTCTCCCCAAAGGTTGAACTCAGGGCAAATGCCGCGAACGCCGTGTGCAACTGCTTTGGCAGTTTCAATGTGTCCCCACCACGACGCGGCATGGCGACAATGAGCAGGAATGATATTATGATGCGCGCGATTGCTACAGCGCGCTAGCATTCACCTCGCCAAACATTCGCCATACGAAGGCGCGGTATCCATCTTAGCCGCGCGGAACTTTTGCTATATTCGTACCTGACCACCACCACCTTCGCTTGGCTGGAGAAAACGACCTGCTAACCACAGCGGCGGCAGAGCAGGACAACCAGAGTCTGCTGGAATGCGCCCGCCAGAGTAGCGTGTCGGAATACTTTTTGAGAGCAGTCTGGGCGACTGCGACAAGTCCAGCAATTGGGATTTGAGCAGTGAATTGCGAAGCTGAAAATATGTACCCAGCATAGAAGTATTTGAGTTTCATGTAGTTTGCAGGGTCCATGCCGAGAAACGGTGTGAGAACATCATTTCTATCGAGTGCACCTGGGATGGCACACGCCAGCTCGACCAAAGTCTGTGGTGTTCGACGCTCAAACGACAACGGTTCGAAGAATACAATACGGCGGCCGAAAGCGTTATTCTGCAGCGAACCACCAACAATTATTGTGTTCACAGTTTGCTCGTCAACGCCCTTGCACAAGTCAAGGTCAGAATTGGTCTGGATCAACCAAAATGGAATATTCTGCTCGTCCGTGTGTTTCGCGCAAGTGGATTGCACAGTCCGGTCCTCGCATTGGTCTTGCGAACACACTCATGACACAGGTTTTACAAACACTTCCACGCCGTGCTCACACTGCACGACGATATGCTTGCCTGAGAGATGTTTCCTTAATAGGGTCTTCGCCAAACTTCACAACATTGAGTTCGAACACTCATTCGGGAATTACTCTTGTCTTGCAAAGTTTGCGCACGTATGCCGCCATGACAGGCTCCCACTCGCCATTCGACCGTGGACAACTGTATACATTATCCCAGTGCGGCCCAAACTCGGAGTTGGAACCCCTAGGAAAGCAGCAGAAGCTAAGCTAAGCTTTAAAAAAAGCTAAGCTACGCCAAGATGAGATAAGCTAAGCTAAGCTAAGCTAGGCTAAGCTAGGCTAGGCTAGGCTAAGCTAAGCTAAGATGAGATAAGCTAAACTAAGCTAAGCTAGGCCAAGATGAGATAAGCTAAGCTAGGTTAAGCTAAGCTATGTTAAGCTAAACTAAGATGAGATAAGCTAAACTGAGCGAAGCTAAGCTAAGCTAAGGTAAGCTAAGCAAGGCTCGGTTGAGCTAAGCTAAGATGAGATAAGCTAAGCTAAGCTAAGCTCAGCTAAGCAGGGGCGCAACTGGGGGAACCGCGGGGCGGATGCCGGGGGAACCGCGGGGCGGATGCCGGGGGAACCGCCCGGGGCGTGGTCCACTGCCCGGCCTTGTTTTATGCAAACCGAGTAAGAACCCTTCTAGGCAGAGCCTAGGTAGGGAATAAACCTTGGCGTTGTATTGAAGCTCCGTGTCTGTTGCAACACCTCCCAGCAGCAGTAACGAACCTGTGGTGTCCCTGCCCCCGCGACCGAAAACGGCGGCCTGGAGGTTGCACAAGTCTGGCAGGGTGGATGATCGGAGCAAGTTGCGGAGCTTGCGCTACAGGCCCCCTATGATGTTTTGACAACTCCCTAACAGGCGCGATGCACCATCTCTCACGCGCCGTGACCCGTCGCCGTTGCCCAAGAGATGCCGCGGCGATTGGCCGTCGAACCTAGCGAATTTGAACGAACGGCACCAACGGTCATCTCCAAACAAAAACGGGCTCCGCAGGCCAACCATCTCCAAATATGCAAGGTCCATCGTGCCGGATAAACGGTAGTGCAACAGTAACACATGAGGAGTAGTTGTTTCCGCAATCGATTGAAATTTTGAGCCAGAACGTCTTGGGCCAGATGTTACACGGTTGTCTCTTGACTTTCCTTGCAGAATGCTCGAGTCGTCCCGAGGAGTGAAGGCCGAGTATGACCGAATTGTGCGGGCTTTTCCTATTCGAGACAGCCTTCCAATAATGAAAGACAAAGTAGGCAGGTTGTTGATGGATTCGCTAACCCTATCTTGGTAGTGCAAGCGTGCCGCAGCGTCAGACACATGATGCTCGCCAGCGGATCGACTCGGATCTGCGCCTGGGCCGCTCTGCAAAAGTGTTGTATCGAAGTGCGCGCTCCACATCCAAATGTTGAGTTTCCAGGCCGCCCAGATTGGGGCATCAGCTGATGGGGTTGCAGCATCGCGCCGTACCGCCGAATCTCGGGGGCACTCTGGCCTGTGCGACAAGGAGCGCCCTCGACGGCTCAGACAACATCACGACTATGCGCAACATGTGGGGTGTTACGCGATGCACCTTTACGGGCACAATGTCTTGAGCACAAAACATCGGTTGTAATCAACAGATATATAGATATCTATATCGTTATGTACGTATGGAGTGTACACCTTAGGCGATGCTTAAGAAAACTTAAGTTTTCGGCCAGAGTCTCGATTATTCTTAACGTTTCAATGTAAATCTTAAGATTTTAATAGAACTGTTGGATTTGGGTTCAAGTTCTGAGACTGTGAAATTCTTAACCCATGATTTCTTAAGCATTTCGCAGGGTGTAATATCTATTGGCCTGTATATCCTGCCACCGTGCCTGGGTCGTGGGGCAGAAGCACATTGCAGGTCTCTTCGATCTCTTAGAAGGCCTCTTAGAGGCCTCTGGAGAGCGCCTTGCGGGCCTCAGGAGGGCCTCTGGCGGCCTCTCGGGGGCTTCCTGGAGAGGCCACCCAAAGTTCTGCCTTATCTCATGCCGTGGCCACTTTAGCTAAAGGTTTGGCCCAAGCATATCCCAAAGCGAACCACCGACACGGTACGCCCTCGCGCGTTCGCCAGAGCAGGAGATTGACGCCACCGTTTCCGGTAGGCGCGATGAGCACGCTCCAGCTCGCGGGGGATGCGTCCGCGCTCTCCGCGAGCGCAGGTGGTGCGTCTCCTGCGCTGAAGCACGCCGCCGGCTGCACGAGCACCTGCAGCGGCGGCCACGGGACCTCCGGCCAGGACCCCCACGAGCAGGCCGAGCACCGGGCCGCCGGCAAGCGCGCCCGGAGCCCCTTCGCGCCGGCGGGCCCCTTCCGCGCGGCGGAGGAGTCTCTGCTGTTCCAGCGCACGGTGTCCACGACCTCCACGGAGTTCACGGCCGACTTCCAGCGGGCCGTGTCCGAGGGTGAGGCAACGCCCTTCGCCTCGCCGTTCGCTGGCCCTCGGTGTTGGCCGCAGGAGGGCCTGGCCGAGCACTCCGAGTGGCGCCTGCAGGACGTGCACCAGCCCAGCCCAGACGGCACGAAGTGGGCAGTCGCCGAGGCCGGTGGCCCGTTCGTGGAGGGCTTGCTGGAGAGCCTGGACGACGTCAAGGCCCTCTTCGAGAAGAGGTTCGGCCTCGACGTAGATGCAGAAGCAGAGGACGAGTGCTTGCTCGAGGACGCGGACGGCACCAAGTGGCAGGTCACCGAGGGCCGCGGCTTGCTGACAGGCCTGGAGGACAGGCTCGAGGGCCTGAAGGCCCTGTACAAGCGCAAGTTTGGCCTGGACGTAGACGAGGCGGAGGACGACGACGAGTGCTTGCTCGTGGACGCGGACGGCACCAAGTGGCAGGTCACCGAGGGCCGCGGCTTGCTCACCAGCTTGGAGGACAGGCTCGAGGGCCTGAAGGCCCTGTACAAGCGCAAGTTTGGCCTGGACGTGGACGAGGAGGAGAAGGACGAAGGTCTGTTCGAGGACGCAGACGGCACCAAGTGGCAGGTCACCGAGGGCCGCGGCTTGCTGACAGGCCTGGAAGAAAGGCTGGGGGGTTTGAAGGCCTTGTACAAGCGCAAGTTTGGCCTGGACGTAGACGAGGAGGAGGAGGACGACGACGAGTGCTTGCTCGAGGACGCGGACGGCACAATGTGGAAGGTCACCGAGGGCCGCGGTTTGCTCACCAGCTTGGAGGACAGGCTCGAGGGTTTGAAGGCCCTGTACAAGCGCAAGTATGGCCTGGACGTAGACGAGGAGGAGAAGGACAAGAGCATGTTCGAGGACGCGGACGGCACCAAGTGGCAGGTCACCGAGGGCCGCGGCTTGCTCACCAGCTTGGAGGACAGGCTCGAGGGCCTGAAGGCCCTGTACAAGCGCAAGTATGGCTTGGACATGGACGAGGAGGAGGCGAAATTGCATGGATGAGGACTGAATGTGGCAGGTCACCGAGGGCCGCGGCTCGCTGACCAGCTTGGAGGACAGGCTCGAGGGCCTGAAGGCCCTGTACAAGCGCAAGTATGGCCTGGACGTAGACGAGGAGGAGAAGGACAAGAGCATGTTCGAGGACGCGGACGGCACCAAGTGGCAGGTCACCGAGGGCCGCGGCTTGCTCACCAGCTTGGAGGACAGGCTCGAGGGCCTGAAGGCCCTGTACAAGCGCAAGTATGGCCTGGACGTGGACGAGGAGGAGGAGGAGGAGGAGGACGAGTGCTTGCTCGTGGACGCGGACGGCACCAAGTGGCAGGTCACCGAGGGCCGCGGCTTGCTCACCAGCTTTGAGGACAGGCTCGAGGGCCTGAAGGCCCTGTACAAGCGCAAGTATGGCCTGGACGTGGACGAGGAGGAGAAGGACGCAGGTCTGTTCGAGGACGCGGACGGCACCAAGTGGCAGGTCACCGAGGGCCGCGGCTTGCTGACAGGCCTGGAAGAAAGGCTGGGGGGGTTGAAGGCCTTGTACAAGCGCAAGTTTGGCCTGGACGTAGACGAGGAGGAGGAGGACGACGACGAGTGCTTGCTCGAGGACGCGGACGGCACAATGTGGAAGGTCACCGAGGGCCGCGGTTTGCCCACCAGCTTGGAGGACAGGCTCGAGGGCCTGAAGGCCCTGTACAAGCGCAAGTATGGCTTGGACATGGACGAGGAGGAGGAGGACGAAGGTCTGTTCGAGGACGCGGACGGCACCAAGTGGCAGGTCACCGAGGGCCGCGGCTTGCTCACCAGCTTGGAGGACAGGCTCGAGGGCCTGAAGGCCCTGTACAAGCGCAAGTATGGCCTGGACATGGACGAGGAGGAGGAGGACGACGAGTGCTTGCTCGTGGACGCGGATGGCACCAAGTGGCAGGTCACCGAGGGCCGCGGCTCGCTGACCAGCTTGGAGGACAGGCTCGAGAGCCTGAAGGCCCTGTACAAGCGCAAGTATGGCCTGGACGTAGACGAGGAGGAGAAGGACAAGAGCATGTTCGAGGACGCGGACGGCACCAAGTGGCAGGTCACCGAGGGCCGCGGCTTGCTCACCAGCTTGGAGGACAGGCTCGAGGGCCTGAAGGCCCTGTACAAGCGCAAGTATGGCTTGGACGTGGACGAGGAGGAGGAGGAGGAGGACGAGTGCTTGCTCGTGGACGCGGACGGCACCAAGTGGCAGGTCACCGAGGGCCGCGGCTTGCTCACCAGCTTGGAGGACAGGCTCGAGGGCCTGAAGGCCCTGTACAAGCGCAAGTATGGCCTGGACGTGGACGAGGAGGAGGAGAAGGACGAAGGTCTGTTCGAGGACGCGGACGGCACCAAGTGGCAGGTCACCGAGGGCCGCGGCTTGCTGACAGGCCTGGAAGAAAGGCTGGGGGGTTTGAAGGCCTTGTACAAGCGCAAGTTTGGCCTGGACGTAGACGAGGAGGAGGAGGACGACGACGAGTGCTTGCTCGAGGACGCGGACGGCACAATGTGGAAGGTCACCGAGGGCCGCGGTTTGCTCTCCAGCTTGGAGGACAGGCTCGAGGGCCTGAAGGCCCTGTACAAGCGCAAGTATGGCCTGTACGTGGACGAGGAGGAGGAGGACGAAGGTCTGTTCGAGGACGCGGACGGCACCAAGTGGCAGGTCACCGAAGGCCGCGGCTTGCTGACCGGCCTGGAGGACAGGCTCGAGGGCCTGGAGGCCCTGTACAAGCGCAAGTATGGCCTGGACATAGACGAGGAGCAGGACAAGTGTCCACTCAAGAGGCTTACGCCACCCAGCAGACTCACCTTCGCAGTGTAGTCTGGGTTGCGCACGGATTGCTTGACCAGGGTAATTGGGAGGTTGACGATAAAGAGCGAGGTGATTGCTGGAAAGATGAAGGAGGAGGAGGAGAGAGGAGAAAGGAGAGAGGAGAGGATAGAAGGAGACGGAGGAGGAGGAGGAGGTTGAGGAGGAGGAGGAGGAGGAGGAGGAGGAGGAGGAGGCAGAGGAGGACGATCACGAGTAGGGAGAAGGAGTACAAGGAGAAGGAGGAGGAGGAGGAGGAGGAGGAGGGGGAGGAGTGGGAGGAGAAGGAGGAGGAGGAGGAGGAGGAGCGAGATGATGAGGAGGAGGAGGAGGAGGAGAAGGAGGAGGAGGAGGAGGAGGAGGAGGAGGAGGAGGGGGTGGGTACGTGCGAGGAGGAGGAGGAACAGGAGGAGAAGGAGGAGGAGGAGGGGGAGTAGAAAGAAGAAGGGGAGAGAGGGAGGAGCTCGCGGAGGAGGAGTGTGGGTGTGCAGTCTGTTGGGGAGCACCAGTGTGCAATTAGCTACAGTGAAACCCATGCCAAGAACTACCCTCCCTTTAGGGTGGATTGGGTTTCTTGAGTTTCGATGGTTCTGCTATGGGTGATGGATAGCGCGACGCTCCCACACCAAAAGTCCATGGACGTCCTGGGGCCTCAGGGTTAGGTTTCTTGTGGGAGGTTTCTTGTGGTCGAGCTCCTACTGTACTCTGCCAGGTTGGCCCGCGGCTGTGTTGGCTGGTATCCCCAGGATGAGGAGAAGGAGGGGGAGGGAGGAGCTCGAAGAGGATGAGTGAGGGTGCTCAGGATGTTGGGGAATTGATGTGTGCAGTTGGCTGCTCCGCCAGGTTGGTGTCGGGCTGTCGTGGATGTGATTCTCGGGAGGAGGAGGAGGAGGAGGAGGAGGAGGAGGAGGATTGGGAAGGGTGAATTCGACGGACATGAACTGTGTTAATCAGGATGTTGGAGAGTTCGTGTGTAATTAGCTACTCTGCCAGGACGATCTGGAGCTCTGTTGGAGCAGTCCTAGTGTCTAGGGCCGTCTTGGAGACCATCCAGGTGCTTTTGGGACAATCGCGGGCCCATCCTGGGGCCATCGGAAACAACAAGCATAAAAGGTATGTGCCTGATTGTCTGCGGCAAATTCTGCCACCTGTGCCAGTGCAGAGCACTCTGTGTTTCTGTGCCATGGGCCCAGAACATGCTCGTGTTGGTATTTTGCGCGTTCGGTGTTTTCCCGCGATTGACCATTCCAGGACGATCACGGGCTGTATTGGAAGAGTCCTCGGGATGTGCAGGAGGCAAGTTTACAGCCCTTGGGATGCATTTGGGGCTCATCTTGGGGCCTGCTGGTCGCTCTTTGAGGGGGGGATTGCGGCCATTTGGGCGAGCCCGAGGACCATAAGGAGGCGTACCGGAGCAATACTGGAGTAATATCTAAATGTATTTGAGCAGGCTGGGAGCCATGTCTGAAGCCAGCTGGGGCCATCTAGGGCCATCCTGGGGCTGTACTGGCGTGGCGGTCTGGTGGGTTGCCCGGTGGCCTTCTGGAAGTGTCTTGGACCCTCTCGCGGGCCTTCCCGGGCGCAAACACAAGAAAGCAAATCATATTGAAACGAGCATGGGCCTGGCGCGGCCCATTCGGCGAAGCTTCCTAAGGGAGTCACCAGGCAAGGAAGGATCGGCATTCCTTGGCGCTTAGCACTTTGCTTGCCGCTGCCTGGCATTGCTCGGCGCTGTGTGGCACTGCTTCCTGCATCGGTTTCACTGCTTGGCATTGCCCAGCAGCGCCTCGGTGCTGCTTCGCCGCAGGGGCAACCAGGCGGCAGCCCAGGCAGTCGGGCAACCGCGCAAGACCCGAGGGAGGGACTCGAGGAAGGCCAGGCGCCGCCTCTGGGGAGCGGCACCGAGCCCACCGGCGTCGTCACGAACTCCCCAACGCAGGGCTGGTTTCGATTATTCGCTTCGACTCGATTCCGATTCTTTCCGATTCCGATTCGATTCGATGTCGGATTCCGATTTGGGTTTCGATTTCTGATAATAGAGGCCCACTAGGCTGCCGATTTCCGCCGATTCGACTTTACCCGACTCGGCTGCCGATTTCCGCCGATCCGATTCATTTCGATCGCCGATTCGACTTGTCGATTCGATTCTGGGCTCTCCTGCCAACGAGTAAGAACACTTCTGACAAGTCATGGCGCCGACATCGCAGGGTGGATTTCGCTCGGAAGGCAACGGGATGGGCCCAGATTTGTTCCTGGAGAACTCGTTCCGGCGTTTGGAGTGAATTTCGAGAGAATTTTTGTTTGCCAGGAATGAAGACTACAAAAAACCCACGTGAAATTCACGTCGCGTTTCGCTCGCGTTTTGGAGGCTTTGCATTGACAGAAATCCACGCGAAAATCCGCTGTAGCACGTCTGCAAGGTCGGTGCTGTTTCAACATGTGTTTTGGTGTCAAGTTCCATCTTGGGACCCCTTAGGGCACTCATGGGGTCTTGTAGGGCCTCCAGGCCTCTTGGGCGTGTGTTGGAGCACTTCTTGGCCGTCTTGGAAGACAGATTGACCATGTTGGAGGCGTTGGAGGCTAGATTTTGACGTTCTGAGGGCCGTGGAGGCGTGTTGGGAGCTCGTAAACCCCTCCTTGCCCCGCTTTCTCTTTTAGGTGGGGTCTGGATCCGATCACCTCACACGCCGTCTTACCCCCAGCAAGAGGGGGTCGGCGGATTCGAGGATGCGGACGGCACCAAGTGGCAGTTCACTGAGGGCCGCGGCTTACTGACCAGCTTTGAGGACAGGCTGGAGAACTTGAAGGTCCTGTACAAGCGCAAGTTTGGCCTGGACGTGGACGAGGAGATGGAGGAGAGCCTGTTCGAGGACGCGGACGGCACCACCTGGCAGGTCACCGAGGGCCAAGGCTGTCTGACTGGCTTGGAGGACAGGCTGGAGGACCTGAAGGCCTTGTACAAGCGCAAGTTTGGCCTGGACGTGGACGAGGAGGACGAGGGCCTGTTCGAGGACGTAGACGGCACCAAGTGGCAGGTCATTGAGGGCCGCGGCCCCCTGACCAGTTTGGAGGACAGGCTGGAGGACTTGAAAGCCCTGTACAGGCGCAAGTTTGGCCTGGACGTGGACGAGCAGTCGGACGAGAGCCTGTTCGAGGACGCGGACGGCACCAAGTGGCAGGCCATTGAGGGCCGCGGCTTTCTGACCGGCCTGGAGGACAGGCTCGAGGACCTGAAAGCCTTGTACAAGCGCAGGTTTGGCCTGGACGTGGACGAGGAGGAGGACGAGGGCCTGTTCGCGGACGCAGACGGCACCAAGTGGCAGGTCATTGAGGGCCGCGGAGCCCTGAGCGGCTTTGAGGACAGGCTGGAGAACCTGAAAGCCCTGTACAGGCGCAAGTTTGGCCTGGACCTGGACGAGCAGTCGGACGAGAGCCTGTTCGAGGACGCGGACGGCACCAAGTGGCAGGCCATTGAGGGCCGTGGCTTTCTGACTGGTCTGGAGGACAGGCTCGAGGACCTGAAGGCCTTGTACAAGCGCACGTATGGCCTGGACGTGGACGAGGAGGAGGACGAGGGCCTGTTCGAGGACGCAGACGGCACCAAGTGGCAGGTCACTGAGGGCCGCGGCTTTCTGGCTGGCCAAGAGGACAGGCTGGAGGACCTGAAGGCCATGTAACGGCGCACCGAAGGAGGAGAACGAAATCCTGCACAAGGGAACATCAGCGTGGTAGTCAGGCGTTTACCCAAATTCGATTTTTACAAGTGCCCCCCTTGCCCGCGACGCTGGCGCCGGTGTAGCATTAGGAATGGCGCCGTTCGTCCTGGCAGAGGCCTCGCGCGCTAAGTTTGAAGTTGTAGACTTTCAAAATCGCCTAGACTGCTACGTGTTTCAAGTATCAGCTGCACTAAAACCAGATCGCCCTCCTTATCCCTCCCCCATCAGACATCCGGACCGACTTGCCACTCTCTCACGGTGCCTCACCCCTTCTCCTCAACCCGCTCTTGTCCTTGATCCCTTCCTTCCTCAGGAGGAGGAGGGAAAGGAGCAGCAGGAGACAGGAGAGGCGGAAGGGAGAGGCGATGGAGGAGAGGAGGGGGAGGAGGAGGAGGAGGAGGAGGAGGAGGAGGAGGAGGAGGAGGAGGAGGATATTTGCTGATCCTCTTTGTCCTCCATCTCCCCTTTGCGGACTTGGCTGATCTAGTATGACTGAATAGCAGCGCTGTCCATCTTTCCTCGGGGCGGGGAGACACCCCGCCTTGTTTCAAGGCGGCCAGTGCGGCCGCCACCGCCCTGTCTCGTGTCTCGACGGCACGAGACAGGCGGCCATCGCTCCCCCTAATGCGGCGCCTTCGTGGCGCCTTCCTCGGAGTGCCCCGCGCGTCAGGGAAGGGGCACGAGAAGGGGGACGAGGGCAGGGGAGAGGGGGGGGAGGTGGCGGGCGAGGCAGGAGGAGCGCGGGAGAGGGGAGGCCGGGGTGGACGTGGCACAGTTCGCTCCCCATCGCAGGGGCTGGAGAGATATCCGTGCCGATCTTTGGCGGCACGACGTGGCCGCGTGGCCATGGTCTCCGAGTATCCCGTGCCCGTTTTTTTGTTGATTGGTCGGCACCGGCAGTGCAGGCCTACCTGCCCCATTTGAGATTCGGGCGCGGCCGTCGATCGAAGCATCAGAAACACCATAGCAGAAGCTCTCGGAGGTCCGCGCGGAATTCTTGCATTGGCGCTGGAAGCGCCGCCAGAGGGAGGGAAGCGGCTAGCGCCGATACTGGAAATCCGTTCGGGCCTCCGAAAATTCATGCTTGTGGCGTTTTCAGTTCCTCTAGTCTGGGCTCGTCATCCCGAGCCATCTAGTATCGTTTGAAACGCCCACGGGGCGCCGCTTGCGGTGCTCCTCGGGTGGGATCCTCCCGCGGCCTGTGCAGCCAGAGCGTTCAGCAGGCGGCCTTTTAAAGCGTGCAATGGCAGCGTGCTACAGTATACGCTTGCCCAACTCTCCTGAATGAGTACGGTCAGGAACTTTCTCTCAGCGTGTCGATCCGACTGTTTTGGCCAACCACGCTGCTGCGCGACACGCTAACCGAGCGCCAGCCCCCAACCCTCAACGCCTGGAGTTATTTCCAGCCTCCCGCCCCGCGGAGCGGGGAGACATGATATCAGGTCGCAGGCCGTAGCGTGTCGCCAGGGCCGCCGCCGCGACACGCTATGCAAAAGTTCCTGGCCGAATGCCGTAGGCTGCATAGGGCCGGCTGCATAGGGCCTGGGAGGGACAGCTTTTGAAGTACAGCAGGGAGCTTGACCTTCTACCGTTACACATGCTGGCGGAGTTGCTCGCGCCCCGAAACAGTATGCATTATATGACGTGTGCATGTTGGCATGTCCACGTGTATCCACCTTGTTGGTATCAAAAGTGTTGCGTTACATTGCGTTTCGTTTTGACATCGGCTTACACGCACGTTCGTATCGAAGACGCCTCTGGCGAGTTACCGCCGCCCCATGCCTTCTGGAGATGTCTCTGCGGTGGCATGTCGGCCGAAAGTCCAGCCATGCTGGTGGACTGCGCGTTCACCGAGCTGGTCGGTAAACCACAGTATGGGGCGGTCGTGGCTTGTCTCTCTCTGGCCTTTGGGGCCCCTAGCGGGGACAGGTCCTCTTGGAGCTGAAGGCGGGGGTGAGAACGCGGAAAAAGGTCGAACTGACGGGCCCTCCTGGGCGTGCGTTCCCCTGGCCGTTGTGGAAACCCTTGGGTGGGGGCATGCTGGGGAAGAGAATGGAGAGGAAGGAGCCTGCCGTTTCGGAAAAAAAACGATCCTGGAAAAAAGCCGAGCGAAGGTGCGGCCGCTTTGTCTTGGACTGCGTATTCCCCCCCCACGCCGTTGGGAAATCACCGTGTAAACACTGGGGAGGGGAGGAGGCGGTGGAGGAGGAGGAGGAGGAGGAGGAGGAGGAGGAGGAGGAGGAGGAGGAGGGAGAGGAGGAGGAGGAGGAGGAGGAGGAGGAGGGGGAGGAGGACAAGCTAGGTGCGCTCGCGTCATATCTGACATCCTACCCCTCCCTCCCATCCCGTACTATGGCGTAGTGGCGTAGATCCCTTCTCTACTCGCACAGTCGGATGTCGAGCAGGGCAATGATCCCGAAAGGGTACGCGATGCATTGTAGAGCCCAGCATGGCATGGCGTAGAAGAGCACCGCAAAGCGTAGTATGTCACAGCATGGCGTGGCGTGGCGCAGTGAAGAATTGCATCACAAAGCTTTGCAACGCAAAGCATGGCATCGCACAGCGGCCCCGAACATAACATTGCATAGCATGGCGTTGAAGATCAAAGCGTCGCATAGCATAGCACGACGTGGCACTTAAGCACTGCATATCACAGCATCAGCTGAAGGCATGGCATCGCGCAGCGCAACGCAACCTAGCATTCCATTGCATGCAGTGGCATAGCACGGGAAATGACGCCAGCGCTGCAGCGGGAGCACGATTCGAAACGAGCGGAAGCACGGAAATGAGGCCAGCGCTGCAGCGGGAGCACGATTCGGAACGAGCGGAAGCACGGCAATGAGGCCAGCGCTGCAGCGGGAGCACGATTCGGAACGAGCGGGGCCCGAAAATGAGGCCGGCGCCTCAGCGAGATCAGCATTTTTACCTAACAGCGAAGACTGATAGGTTTCTAGTAGGGTCAAAAGAGAGCAGCACATTACTCCACAGGGGGGTCTGGGCAGCCGTTGGGGAGGTGTTGGGGGGCCGTTGGGGGGCCGTTGGGGATTGCCGGGGAACCTCGTTTTTCGCAAACAGTCACACACTTCGTGCTCTTCGACCTCCCAGAACTCCATTCTTCGACCTCCCAGAACTCCATTCCCGGGCCACATTCTGAATGCCCGGAGCCAACTGTAGGCCACTTCGTGGTCTTCGAGTTCCCAGAACTCCATTCCCGGGCCACATTTTGGATGCCCGGAGCCAACTGTAGGCCACTTCGTGGTCTTCGAGTTCCCAGAACTCCATTCCCGGGCCACATTTTGGATGCCCGGAGCCAACTGTAGGCCACTTCGTGGTCTTCGAGTTCCCAGAACTCCATTCCCGGGCCACATTTTGGATGCCCGGAGCCAACTGTAGGCCACTTCGTGCTCTTGGACTTCCCAGAACTCCATTCCTGGGTATGATTTTGAATGCCCGGAGCAAACTGTAGGCCACTTCGTGTTCTTCGAGTTCCCAGAATTCCATTCCCTGGCCACATTTTGAATGCTGAGGCAGGCTGATGCTGAGGCTGAGGCAGGCTGAGGCAGGCTGAGGCTGAGGCCGAAGCTGAAGGCAGACTCAGGCTGAGGCTGATGCAGGCTGAGGCTGAGGCTGAAGCAGGCTGAGGCTGATGCAGGCTGAGGCTGAGGCAGGCTGAGGCTGAGGCTGAGGCTGATGCAGGCTGAGGCTGAGGCAGGCTGAGACTGAAGCCGAGGCTGAAGGCAGATTGAGGCTGAGGCTGAAGCAGGCCGAGGCTGAGGCTGAGGCTGAGAGGCAGGCTGAGGCTGAGGCAGGCTGATGCTGAGGCAGGCTGAGGCTGAGGCTGAGGCTGATGCAGGCTGAGGCTGAGGCAGGCTGAGGCTGAGGCCGAGGCTGAAGGCAGACTGAGGCTGAGGCTGAAGCAGGCTGAGGCTGAGGCTGAGGCAGGCTGAGGCTGAGGCTGAGGCTGAGGCAGGCTGAGGCTGAGGCAGGCTGAGGCTGAGGCTGATGCAGGCTGAGGCAGAGGCAGGCTGAGACTGAAGCCGAGGCTGAAGGCAGATTGAGGCTGAGGCTGAGGCAGAGGCAGGCTGAGGCTGCGGCTGAGGCAGGCTGATGCTGAGGCAGGCTGAGGCTGAGGCTGAGGCTGATGCAGGCCGAGGCTGAGGCAGCCTGAGGCTGAGGCCGAGGCTGAAGGCAGACTGAGGCTGAGGCTGAAGCAGGCTGAGGCTGAGGCTGAGGCAGGCTGAGGCTGAGGCTGAGGCAGGCTGATGCTGAGCCAGGCTGAGGCTGAGGCTGAGGCTGAAGCAGGCTGAGGCTGAGGCCGAGGCCGAGGCCGAGGCTGAAGGCAGACTGATGCTGAGGCTGAAGCAGGCTGAGGCTGAGGCTGAGGCAGGCTGAGGCTGAGGCTGAGGCAGGCTGAGGCTGAGGCAGGCTGAGGCTGAGGCTGAGGCTGATGCAGGCTGAGGCTGAGGCAGGCTGAGGCTGAGGCCGAGGCTGAAGGCAGACTGAGGCTGAGGCTGAAGCAGGCTGAGGCTGAGGCTGAGGCAGGCTGAGGCTGAGGCTGAGCAGGCTGATGCTGAGGCAGGCTGAGGCTGAGGCTGAGGCTGATGCAGGCTGAGGCTGAGGCAGGCTGAGGCTGAGGCCGAGGCTGAAGGCAGACTGAGGCTGAGGCTGAAGCAGGCTGAGGCTGAGGCTGAGGCTGAGGCAGGCTGAGGCTGAGGCTGAGGCAGGCTGATGCTGAGGCAGGCTGAGGCTGAGGCTGAGGCTGCAGGCTGAGGCTGAGGCAGGCTGAGGCTGAGGCCGAGGCTGAAGGCAGACTGAGGCTGAGGCTGAAGCAGGCTGAGGCTGAGGAGGCAGGCTGAGGCTGAGGCTGAGGCTGATGCTGAGGCAGGCTGAGGCTGAGGCTGAGGCTGATGCAGGCTGAGGCTGAGGCAGGCTGAGGCTGAGGCCGAGGCTGAAGGCAGACT